GAAAGAAAGAAAGAGGGAGGGAGGGAGAAGATAGGAAGGAAGGAGGGGGGGAGGGAAGAGAGGGAGGGAGGGAGGGGGAAGGGAGAAAGGATAGTAAGGGAGGGAGGGAGAAGATAGGAAGGAAAGAAGGAGGGGGAGGGAAGGGAGACAGGATAGGAAGGGAGGGAGGGAGGGAGGAAGGGAAGAAAGGAAGAGAAGGAAAGTGGGAAGGAAGGAAGGGAGGAAGGAAGGGAAGAGAAAGGGAGGGAGGGAGAAGATAGGAAGGAAAGAAGGAGGGGGGAGGGAAGGAGGGAAGGGAGACAGGATAGGAAGGGAGAGAGGGAGGGAGGGAGGGAGGGAAGAAAAGAAGAGAAGGAAAGGGGGAAGGAAGGAGGGAGGGAGGGAGGGAGGAAGGAAGGAAGGAAGGAAGGAAGGAAGGAAGGAAGGAAGGAAGATGAACAGATTGGAAGAGTATTAAATGCTGGTAAAATGCTGAAATATTTTGGGGGTGTCACCTTCAATGTTAGGAAGAAATTCCTCTACAATATTGGCATTTGGTTCCTCTCAGAAATTGGGATCTTTCCTGCCCAAATCTCTATCTTGCAACAACAACAAAAAAAATCACCCCAACCTGCAAAGGTTCCCCTGCAACCCTCTACCCCCTTCCTTCCTTCTAAAATAAAAAAGGAAAAAAATAAAATTAAAATGCCCATCCTTCAAAACGAAGGCGTGCAAAGCCGGACAGGTGTGCAAAGCAACCAAAGTTCACTCTCCACCCCGTCAAGAGAGTTTGAAGGATACCGAAGGAATCCTTCCCCCCTCCCCCCCCATCACCACAGTTGCATTTGTGGGTCCTTTATTCCCCCCTCCCCCACCCCATATCCCACCCCACCCACAACGCCGCCCAAGGCCTCCGACGGGCGATATATAGAGGTTCCAAAATGGCTTCGACTCTCCGGCTTAAGGCCTCCCGAGTGAGGGCATGTGTGTTGCCCGTGTATGTGCGCTCGTGCTTGCGTGTGTGTCTGTGCGTGCACGTTGTCTCCCAGATGTGGGTAAGGGCACAAAAAGGCGTTTGGAGGCAACCCCAGTGTACCAATTACCGCAAAGGGAGGGCTCCAAGGCGTGGCCCCGGAGGCCTTTCCAGAGTCTGCCGAGAGCATTGCAAGGAAAGGAGGAGGAAGGAGGAGGAGGGGGGGTTGGGGGGTGGAATGGCTTGCTTGGGGATTGCAAAACACCCGTTTGTGGCGCGTTGCGAGCCCTCCCCGCTGTGCCCCCCAGCGCAGGGTGAAGTGGCCCGGGACTCGCTTACCGTCAGGGTGTCGTCGATGTAAAGGGGGATCTGCAGCCTCTCGAAGAGGAATTCTTCCTCGCTGTCTCTGCAAACGGCCACCAGCCGCGCCATCTCTGTTGCCGTTTGCTCTGCCTCTTCCTTCCAAAGCCTGAAAAGCAGCCAAACCCAGGGCAAGTAAATATAAGCTTGAGTTCCTCTGCCACACTTTCACCAGCGGGGGGGGGGAGAAAATCACCCTCCTTAACCGGGACAGATTCGACAAAAGAGGAAAGTGAGAGGAGGAGGAAAGAAAGGGGGGGGGGCAACACCTCATCTAGGTGCTCCTTGGATGTTTTTTTTACCTACGGCTTTTATTTATTTTTTATATTTTTATTTGAGCCAGAAGAGGGGGTGGCTTTCAGGACGTTAGCCTAGTTTTAGAAGAAGATATGAAGTAACGTTTGCAAGATTTGGGTTTGGACAGTCTACAGGAAAGAAGGACCAGGGTGACATGATAGCAGCATTCCAGTATTTGAGGGGCTGCCCCAAAGAAGAGGGGGGTCAAATTATCTCCCAAAGCCCCTGAGGGCAGGACAAGAAGCAACGGATGGAAACTAATCAAGGAGAGAAAGCAATCTGGAGCTAAGGAGAAACTTCCTAACAGGGAGAACAATTAACCAGTGGAACAGCTCGCCACCAGAAGTTGTGGGTGCTTCGTCATTGCAGGTTTTTAAGAAGAGACTGACAGTCATTTGACTGAAATGGTATAAGGGTTTCCTGCTTGAGCAGGGGGCTGGACTAGAAGACCTCCAAGGTCCCTTCCAACTCTGTTATTCTGACCTGTCTCAAGGATGAGAAGCAGAGAAGCACCTTACGGCTCCTGGAGTTGTGGGATGTCTGAACATGTGCTTCTTAAAGCTCTTCCAAGGAGGAAGGAAGGGAGTCCAGAAAATGTAGGTCATACAGACCGGCTGGAACACACCCATGGCTAAGTACAAGCACTTGAGGTTTGATTGCGGGTGTGTGAACTTGCATGGGTTGTTTCCCATAGACCCACAACAAAGTGGGGGGAAAAAGTTAACAGTCCAGATCAACTTGTGAATAGAGGCAGTCCTTGACCCACGGCCACAACTGAGGCCAACATTTCTGTTGTTAAGCGAGACATTGGTTCGGGGAGTTTTGCCCCATTTTACGACACTTTTTTGCCACAGTGACTTCACCGCAGTTGATAAGTTTAGTAACATGGTTGTTCAGTGAATCTGGCTTCACCGTTGACAGTTTTGCTTGTCGGAAGGTCGCAAAAGGTGATTCCCACGACCTTGAGACACAGCAAAAGTCATAAAACTGAACCAGCTGCCAAGCATCTGAATTTTGATCATGGGGATGCTGCAAAAGTCGTCACTATGGGGAAAAAAACAGTCACACAAGCCACTTTTTCCAGTGCCATTGTCACTTGAAACAGTCACTAAATGGACTCCTGTTAAGTCGAGGACTACCTGTACATTATGCACAGATTTCAGGATGATTCATTAATCCAGATCCGAATGAGTCCACCCTCAGCCTGGCCGCACTGAAAAGCAAACTAATTCGCAATGTTGGGGACAATAACACACGGGCAAACAACAGATACCAACTCAACAATAAACTGTTCCAAATTCGGTTACAGAAAACACGACTTCAGCAACAGAGTGGTCAAGGCCTGGAACTCACTCCCTGACTCTGTTGTCAGTCTCAAACCGCCAAAACTTTAACCTTAAATTGTCTACTGTGGACTTCACTCCATTCCTAAGAGGGGGCTGTCAGCATTCCAGAAAACCTCCACTCCAACAAATAACTCCGAGACAGACATCCTCTCCAAGGTTCTTTTTATTAGAGTGGTAAACTGGCACATCTGGGAAATCCCGAATCTGAAAGTTCTGGGTTTCCTTGCAATAAGTAAAATATTACAAATCCGCCTCCTGCACCCCTCATGGCATCCCAGGCCCCAATCACCATCTGCCCCCACTTGACACGTCCTCTCACCCAGGTGCAGAAATAACATGACCTTGACTTAGAAGAAGAATGCTATTATGTCTAACCACATACACTCCAAGACATTCCCCCCTCCCATTTTCCCAGGCTCAAGAATGTGGCAGTGTGGAAGCGTCTGGTGCTAATATGGCTTCCAAAGTTGACAGGGGCACGCATAAGTGCACCAGCATGCCTACCGTCCCTTATCCTACTCTTCCCATTTATTCGTACTCAATTATGATGTATATACTTATACCCGTTTATGTTTATATATTATGTTCAGACTTATACTTGTTTTGTCATACTGGCTTGACAAACTAAACTAAATAAATAAAATAAAAAATAAATAGTGTTGCGTCTCAACCTGGCTGCTCAGAACTAAGATTAGGGAAAGACAGAGGTACCAGCATTGTGTCAAATGTTTCCTCACACGTGAGGCCCTCAGAATCATATTAGCAACTGAAACACAATTAAAAAAAAATACTTGGCAGTTAAAAACATAGGTGAGTTGGACACCGTGGGGTTGCTGTTAAAACACAACAAAACTGGGGCTTTTCCACTGAACAACATACATAACCAAGCCAATTAACTATGCTTCTGTACCAGGGGTCTTCAAACTTGGCAAGTTTTAAGACTTGAGGACTTCAACTCCCAGAAGTCCTGAGCTAACATGACCGGAGGAGGAATTCTGGGAGTTGAAGTCCACAAGTCTTAAAGCTTGAAGACCCCTGGCCTATGCTTTGAGGGATTTTTGGCGCTCTCTGAGCTTGGTTGTTTCCTTGCAGATGTTTCATGACCCAAACCAGGTAACACTGTCAGTGCTAGTCGATGATGACTAGTTGATTATCACTGATCATGTTACCTAGCTGGGTCATGAAATGTCTGCAAGAAAACAACCAAGCTCAGAGAGCACCAAGGAACCCTCATGTCAACCCTGAGCTACAAATACTCTCCTTTAGCAACCTAAGCTTTCTTAGTGTTCAGTTTAAACTTAGTATATATTGCATGAACCCAGCTTATAGGTTGGGACAGGGTACACATTCAGAAAATCCAGTTTCTAAAATATATCGCTGCCCCTACCCGTCCAGCATACACATATAAGCGGAGCCATCTTTGTGAGAGGAGGGGCACCTAAATTTTAAGCCTGCCTTAAATCTCCACTTTATTATTCTTAGCAAAAGTCTCCCCTCTGGGCTTCACTTCAAAGAATAGTAAAGGACTGAAGACTTTAAATCAGCATTGATGACACTCTAAATAACATACGTGCTCATATCTTCTTTACACATTCACAAATTACAATTCTCTTTACCAGAGTCATACAGTTTTAAGTTCCCTCCAATTTTCCCTTTTCCCATTTCTACCTATCTGAAAGAAATAAATTTATTTCACCACATATGTAATAGATGCAATAATGCAGCCTTGCAAAAAATAATAATAGTCCAGTAACACAATTTTAACAGAATGCTAGAGTTGGAAGGGACCTTGGAGGTCTTCTAGTCCAACCCATTGCTCAAGCAGGAGACCATATACAATTTCAGACAAATGGCTGTCCAGTCTCTTCTTAAAAACTTCCAGTGTTGGAGCAGCCATAACTTCTGGAGGGAAGCCGTTCCACTGATAAACTGTTCTGTCAGGAAATTTCTCCTTAGTTCGAGGTTGCTTCTCTCTTTGAATTGCAACCTGGAACGAAGGATAATTTTTTAAAAGTGCTGACCTTCCTCATTTATCAGCCGGAAGACTCAAATCCAGGAAGTCCTCGTTGGCACTTACACAACGTCTGGCCAACAACTTTTAAATCGGTTCCCAATGGAAAGTCAAATGGGTCACTGAACATCCAGTTATAGGAAGACGTATAAATGACTCCATACAAATGTGCCTCCCACAACGACAATGGACAATCCTGAACATGATTTCCACCTCACATAGTGCCTGCCGAGACTCTGTGTATACATGGGGCATAATATCCACCCCTAGGTGTGATTGCGAGATCCCACATCCAACTGTAGATCACATCATGACCGGCTGTAAGCTGAGGGCATGTACCGGTCCAGTATCTGATTTAAAAAATATATATAAACGAGGTTGGGCTTCAATAGTTAAGATGGCCTAAACCAGGGTGTCAAACTCAAGGCCCAGGGGCTGGATCTGGCCGGCCTGTGGGGTGCTTAGATCTGGCCCGCAGGGCCAACCTGGAAACAGTGAAGGACCAGCCTGAGGTGCCTCTGCCAGCAAAAATGAAGCTCGCTCCTGAGCTCCGTTTTCGCTGGCAGAGGGTAGCAGGAGGCCGTCGCAGCCAAAAACAGAACTTGGGAGCCCATTTTTGCTGGCAGGGCACTCAGGGCAACCGACACAAGTGATATCGAGCTGACCATGCCTACCCCAGACTCCCGAGGTCAAACACAACCCTGATGCGTTCCTCAATGAAATCAAGTTTAACATTGCAATTTGAACATAGCTCTTTTATATTTTATTAATAATTATATTGTACATATTATTATATTATTTTAACATTTATATTTTATTGTGTTTTACTAATCTAGATGAAATGCTAATATATCTTGCTAGCCCATGTATATGCCATATGCTAAATAAATAAGTATTCAAAGGTATAAGCTTTTGTGAGCTGCTGCTCAAATGTGTACCCGATAAAGCAAGATGCAGTGCACGAAAGCTTAATTTATTAATATTTATACAGCCACTTGCCTCACAATCGAGTAAATATGCCTTTGAATAAAATGGATCAGCCAGGACAGGTGCTACCAGACCCCTTGCTGAATCTCTGCTCCCATAGACTAACATCATTCTGAAATGTGTATTCACAATCATCCCCATAAATCCTTATACTACACTCAGGGCCTACCACATATTTATGATGCCTGTGCAAATATTTTGGGCACTTAGAGGTATAATATCAGGAGAGCCTAGTGGTCTAGTGGTTAAGGCAACTGGGCGAGAAACTGGAAAGCCGAGTTCTAGTCCTGCCTTAGGCGGAAAACCAGCTGGTTTACCTCAGGCCAGTCCCTCTCTCAGTTCTATGAAGGAGGCAGCGGCAAACCACTTGTGAGAAACCTTGCCAAGAAAACTGCAGACTTGCCCAGGCAATTGCCAGGAGACAACACAGATTCAAAGACACACAATAAAAAAACGACTACACCATATAATATGCAAGTCAGCCCTTGTCTTACAACAGTTCATTTAGTGACCATTCAAACTGACAACGGCACTGGCGGGGGGAAAAAGTGACTTATGAACATTTTTCACACTTGCAAGTATCCCCATGGTCAAGTGATTTATATTCAGATGCCAGACAACTGGTTCATATTTATGACGTGTCCCAGGGTCATCGGATTCTCTTTTGGTGACCTTCGGACAAGCAAAGTCAATGGGGAAGCCAGATTCAACTTAACAACCAGGTTACTAACTTAACAACTGCAATGATTTACTCTACTCTAACAAATGTGGCAAGAAAAGTCACAAAACTTAACAAATTTTTCACTTAACAACAGAAATGTTGGGCTCAATTGTGGCCATCAGCCGAGGACTACCTGTATCACAATTTGTGCCAGGGTTGAGTTTAACCTTATTGAAAATCACGTCATTTGGGTTCACACCACAGGCTAAGCCAAAGTAACTTCCCACCACAACCCCAATTTACCTTTTACAAACATAGAACACAGAATCGTAGGGTTGGAAGGGATATTGGAGGTCTTCTAGTCCAACCCCCTGCTCAAAGCATCCTGGGTCAAATGGTGGTCCAGTCTATTTTTGAAACCTTCTGGTGATGGGGCACCTGCCAACTAGTTGCAAACGAGGTGACGGAGAGGAAGGGAACTTTTTCTAGGGAATTTTTTTTTTTTTTTTTGCTGCACAGAGATAAAAGTAGGACACCAAATAAAGACACCAAACTCCACGCTGCTGAGCCAAAGGCTCTGAATTACAGCAGGACCCAAAAATCCAAGCCTGGTAACAGCTTGAAAAACCACTTCTAGGAGAAACATGTTCGATTTTCTAGAACTAAGCAACCTGGAATTGCAAGGCAGGCCAACTTGCAATGCATTTTAGCAACCCAAATCCAGGGCTTTACCAGCAATTATGATGTTTAAGCACAACCTGCACACCTACACACTTACCCAATTTGCCCAAGGGGGCAAAAAGAATAAAGCAAAGCAGCTTGTTTCAAAGCAGAAGAAAAAGTCCTGGTAATTAGCAGCCTGCCTACTTCTTTTCCCAAAAGTTTACTTTACTTTACTTTATTGTCATTGCACCTTGTACAACGAAATTAAATACCATCTTCAGTGTACAATTTATGACTATGAAAATAAACACAAACACACATCCCTCACACTCCACACATTGAATTAAAAACCCCTGATATCGCATTAATATTGCACTATACGGTAGAATTCAATAGAGTTACTGCCCTGGGATAGAAGGAGGGTGGTTTGGTTTTTTTTCTTTTCTCCCCTTAATCAGGGGCTAAATTCACTCTTACTACCTCTCCTTTTGACTTTCCCATGTTCTTTGCATCCCTTCCCCACCTTTGGCATTTCAGATTTTGCAAGGGGGCATTTTTCCCAGGGAATCTTCAAATAATGGGGGGAGGGGGGAAATGGCTTATTTAAGGGGAAAATGGCTTTTTTTTTAGGAGAAAATGGCTTTTTAAAGGAGAAAATGGCATTTTTAAGGGGAAAATGGCTTTTTTAAAAAGGGGAAATAGCTTTTTTAAGGGGAAAATGGCTTCCCCCCCTCCTTCTCCAGGCAGAGGGGGGGATTTCTTTATGCATTTCGAAAGGAAGCAGGTTAGGAGCAGGAATGCCCCCCCTCCCCAGGATAGAAATACATGGAAGGAAAAATATAAATTAATAAGGCAACGAGTAGGTCAAAGCATAACCTTCGCTCTTCCTCTTCTTCTCTCTCCTCCTTCCCCCCCACCACTTACTGCTCCGATAGGCTCCACCTTCTATTTAAATTTACCTTCCTTTTCCCCCCAGCCCGCCTCTCCTATTGGCTGAAGCGGCTGAAGCAGCAGGAGAAGAAACTGCCACACCTCGAAACGCCGAAACGGGCGATTATTATTATTTTTTTGGCCTCTCTCTCTTCCCTTCCCCTCCCTCCCCTTTCAAGAGGGCAGCATGGAGCCTCCTCGTCCGGCTTTGGCTCCGCCCCCGCCCCTCCTCCTGCTGCCCCCCCTCCTCTCGCGAGAGACGGAGAAGGCAGCCCTCCCACCTTCCCCCACCCACCGCCCCGACCAACCGCTCACCAGGCTCCGCCTCCTGGCCTCCCAAACCCCGCCCTCTTTCGACCCCCCCCTCCTCCCGGCGACTAACTGCTCTTTCAGGGCGTGCCTCGGCTCAAGCTCTCTCCTCTGCCACAAGCTCCGCCCCCCCTCTCTCTGTATGTAAATGACCCTTGCGTGGCCCGCCCCTTCCTCGGCCTTCCCCTTCGCTTTTTTCCACCGCGAGCTGAAATCGAAGAAAGGAGGGTGGGGAAGAGCGTTTCCTTTATATAGGTAAAAGCCGGTAAGAGGCTCCGGCTTGCGGCCTTCTGCGCATGCCCAACGCTGACGTGAAGTCGAATCTACAAGCTTATTCCCCCGCCTTCTTGGGAACTGTCACAAATGGCCCCTTGCCGCCGGTGCGGCGAATAGGGCGCTGAGGTTTTACGCATGCCCAGTAAGCCGTTTCTTCCGCCTCGAGAGAAAGTTCGAGCGGGAAAAAGTGGCGATGAGGCGATGTTGATCTCGCGCTCTCCCTGAGGCGAGAGTGAATTCGTATATAGATCCGAAACGGGCTGGCTTTGGGATAAAAAACGGGGCAAAATTGCCCCTTTGGCAGTGTTCCTGAAGAATTTCTCCCTCATCCATTTTAAATAGCTACTGGTCCTTAAACTTCGTTGGCCTCTTTAAACCGTTTTGGTTTCTCATACAAAAAAATTATGAGGCGACCTTTCCTTCTGAAATATACAGGCAGTCCTCCAGTTATTACCACAATTGAGCCCGAAATATTTGTTGCTAAGTGAAACATTTGTTACATGAATTTTGCCCCCATTGTACAGCCTTCCTTACCAGTTAAGTGAATCACTGCAGTTATTAAGCAAAATGGTTCTTAAATGAATCTCCCCCATTCTTTGCTTATAAAAAAAAAGTGATCACATGATACCAGGATGCTGCAACAGTCATAAAAATGAGTCAGTTGCCATTTGAATTTTGTTCATGTGACCATGGGGATGCTGCAATGGTTGTGTGAAAAATGATCATTAAGACCCTTTTTCAGTGCTGTTGTAATTTTCAAAAGTCACTAAATGAACTGTTGTAAATCAAGGACTACTTGTATCTTAACATTTGAAAGATGTGTATATCCATATCCATATTTTAAAGACTACCTTTGTTCTCCCCAAAACATGCCTTATCAATATTTAAAACAAGGTATAATATATACCTTATTTCCCTTAAAATATACTTTATCAATATTTAAGGTATAATGTGTACCTGCTTTTCCACCAAATTTTATCTCAGTATTTAAAAGGTACATAATCTGCTTCTTCCCAATATACTTTATCAATATTTAAAAGTATAATGTATGCCTGCTTTCCCCCCCAAAATATGCCTTATCAATATTTAAAGGGATAATATATAACTTGCTCCCCCCCCAAAAAAAAAAGAATATATAAATACTTTAAAGGAGGTGCAATGTATACCTGTGTTGCCCCCAAAATATATCTTATCAATTTTTAAAAGAAGCTTAGAGATGCACAATGCCAAATCTGGGGCCTTTTCTTGCAATCAACTGAGAAATGGCACAGCAATAGAACAGAAAGATATCTTTCCGTACAGGTGTCCAGCAGAAGATAAACCTGAATCTGAAATCAAAAATGGAACACGTCTATAATTCAAGGTCATACTGACAGCAAATTGGATACCAGCACTCAGTTAAAACTGAAGGAATTGATCATTTACGTCTATTTGGAAAGAAAGGTCATCTTATGATCTTTATCCATGGTTACAGGTAGTCCTCGACTTAAGACTACAATTCAGCCTAAAATTTCTATTGTTAAGAAGAGAATTGGTTAAGTGAGCTTTGCTTCATTTTACAACTTTTCTTGCCATAGTTAAGTGACTCACTACAGTTGTTAAGTTAGTAATACAATTGTTAAGTGAATCTGGCTTCCACACTGACTGCTTGTCAGAAGGATACAAAATGATTACATGACCCCCTGGACACTGCAATTGTCATGTGTCAGGTGCCAAGTATCTGAACTTCGAACACATGACAACTACAGGGATGTTACAACAGTCCTTAAGTGTGAAAAAAGGGCAGTCACTTATTTTAGTGTTGTTGTAACTGTTTACTAAACAAACAGTTATAAGCTGAGGACCACCTGTATATTATTGCATTCATAATATAGATCAACCTGGCATTAAGCAGTTACAGGGTTGAGGTTCTAACAAAGATTGGCTTGTACCTGAACTGCTAGTTAGTATCTAGCTTCTAGCCTGCCAAGTACTTTGCCATTCCATTTGTCACTCTAAGGGTTGTAACGACTCCCTTGCTAGGCTCCTTCATCTAGCGCAGGGGTGTCCAACCTTGGCAACTTTTAAGACTTGTGGACTTCAACTCCCAGAATTCCTCAGCCAGCTTTGCTGGCTGAGGAATTCTGGGAATTGAAGTCCACAAGTCTTAAAAGTTGCCAAGGTTGGACACCCCTGATCTAGCGTTTTAGCATCATAAATAAATTGGAAGTGGCATATCACAACGTAAAGCATAATTTTATTTAGAAAAGAAAAATAGCCAAGGGCTGCAGACCAAAAGTATTTGAACATTATTTCACCTGTCTCACAAGTGTCCGTATTTGTGGAAGTGATGGGGAGAATTGCAAAAAATAAATGGTGAAAGCAGTCTTAGTGTTGCCATGGTTCCTTTGAATGTGGCATTGTAACATTGCATGCATGTCTGAAAGAAACCGACCTTATACAGGGACCTCTGGTTCTTCACATCCCTTTATTTCTAGTGACAATTAGACACCACAGTCATGAACGGATGTAAGTAGAGGATTACCTGTACAGTTCACATTTTCTCATTGTGATTGGCAAGTTTCAGTTGCATAAACACTGATGCTTTTAAATAAATTGTGTTTCAGAACAAATACAACAATTGGATTACTTTATTGCATGGCCTTGAAAATGGCACATTATTTGTATAATGACAGTTCCACTGCAAACAACTCATTTCTGAGGTGATGACCTCAGAAACGAGAACTTTATTTTGTACATTATTTGTATGTAGTTGATGTTTTTTCCCCAATCAATAGTAAATTACAACTAAGCTAATGTAGGTAGAAGCTGATCCATTTCCAGAAACCTAAGTAGAACTGTCGTCTTTAATTTTTATACTTTGATTCACCTTCTGTATTCTCAATTGAGGGTCCAAAACCAGCCTAAATTTATATGTCAGTTTGGCTGAGTAGAAACAGTAAAACAAGTGTAAGAAACCTTCAAGCTACACCTGATCCCCCAGCACTCATGTTCTGATTGCACCATTGAAATATATTTTTTTCTAAAATAAGAATAAAAACAGGTGCCTTTGTCTTTATCAATTGTATCCTTTAACCCCCTACCAAAAAAAATTGTCCCAACCCACGCCAGTGATAATGGTTTTTATATTTCATAATGTCACAAAAGTTTGTAAACATATCACATTATTGACAAGAAGTCTTCTGTTGTTTAAAATAGTTCCCTTCCATTTCCCAAAAGTCAGAAATGGGGTATTAAATATCCCAGTTTTAAAAAAACAACAACCCATCTTATGCATATATATCCCAAACCTAAGGAAAAACACCCAAGCCTTTATATTTCATCATAATGGCATTGCAGCTTTTATCATTTTTATTGGCAATATTTTTTGTACCTTGAAGTCAGTGTTGATGCCTGGAGACTGCTTAGACATGTCCTGCAGTTTTGTAAATTACCACCATTTAAAAATTATATTTTTTGCTTGCAATATATACATAGCTAAACAGTTTGTAAACATATATAAATGCACAATTAACATGGCAGACAGTGTGTTGCTGTGCACTGTATCAAACTGCATGTTTACAAGACCAGTTAAAACATTGGCTAGCAAAAAATGCAGAAGCTGGTTTTTGTTCACAGCATTGATCATGCACATACTCTGAGATTCGTTTTTTCTGTGCCGAAATTCCAAATCAGTTTTTTTATATGTTGATGAGTGCAGAACGTTCCAACTACTAGGAATATCAGCCCCACCCACAAGCAGCTTTGTGAATACGAGAATGAGATCAACCACTAAAAAAGAACTAAAGAGGATCAAGCAGCTAGCAACAATCCATATACAAAAAGAAAGGTTTGCCATTCGTCGGGACACGGTGTCAATGTACATCTGAGCAATGTAGAGACATATAAAAAGGAGAAAAATGGCCTGTAAAAAGTAGCAGATTATTTTAAGCCACCCTCTTGCTGTTGTTCTTTTTCCTAACAAAGATAAACCTACTTGCACACTAGCCATGTAGATAGCAAGGTAACCGATGACAGAAAATATGCCCTCTCTGTTGGCATTTAGAAAACCAGTCCTTGAATCTTGCCCATTGCTTCCATGCAAAATAAACATCTTCAGAGGTGTAATCTCAAGAAAGCATTCATAAACCACAGCTAACATTACTGCGACTATCCAGGCTTTGTGCACGGGGAAGAGAGTCAGAAGAAGTGATGCACCCATTCGTATAGCAGCTAAAGTGAAGAAAAAGTTCCAGTGCATACCATATTCGGTGACATGCTCATAATAGTCAGCTGCTTTAACACTCATTAGTCGTCCAAAGCCAAGGAGAAGGAGGGGCCATACGGTCAACAATTGCCTTGTGAGATAAAAGAATTTGTGTTGGATTGCACCAGGTTTCAGCCGAACCTCTGGACAAACCACACCATTTCCAAAAACAAATATTCCAACTCCCAAATCCATCACTCCTGTTCCATAAGACTCTGTTTTGGCATACCTCCGGGGATACTGTGGGAAGTCTACAGCCAGGATGCTAATGGATGTCCATAAATTGATGAACACTCGAAGCGAGGTTATGGAGGGAATGTATTCTGGGTCCAAGTTGGTTCTCAGAAAATCATCTAAGA